ACAACTTAGTCCAAAGGGAAAGAACACACTCTTCCAGAGATCCCACCGCGCACAACCCGCCTCCAGGAGGCCAGACAGACACCTCAGAAGGTGGGAACAATCCCACACTCTAGAGTTCCTCCTTTTCTTCTTTGGGAATCAGACTGCCCCTCCACTCAAGTGCGAAAGATCTCCGGATCTAGCACCGCAGGGAGTCCGGGGTTTGTTTTCCCTAGCACTGGGCACCAAGGCGGATCTGCGGGGTGATAGTGACGTAACCGACGCAATTGGACAGAGAGACGCCGACAAAACCCTAAAGCAAACCACTTTCTCCAAAGGAATAGCTTTCAGTGAAATAATTTATTTGAAACAAAAGAAGATAAATAAATTTCTTCCCCTCTACTACTTGGGAGTCCTGGTGTGGCGCTGTGAGTTAAATGCGCTAGACCGGACCGCAACGCCAGTTTGAACCTCCAGGTTGGCGGTTCAAGCTCACCAGCCGCTCTTCGGAAACGCTATACTGGGTTGCTATGGGTCGGAACCAACTCGACGGCACTTAACAACAACAACACTACTGAGAACAGTGTCCTGTCTTGACTTCTCCAAGAATTATAACGAAATTACAGAATGGTAATACTGTAATTGTCATCCATTCCTTTCTGAGAGTTGCAATAATCCTAGGAAAAGGTGATGTTTTCACAGGGTTTACACAAAGAAACCTGTGAGAGCTGGAACTCGATGGTGATGGCGTGCATTAAGTCGGTTCCGACTCTTAGCTACCTGTATGGGGTTTCCGAGACTATAAATTTTTTACGGGAGCAGAAAGCCTAGTCTTACTCCCGGAGAGTGGCTGGTGAGCTCCAACTGCCGATCATGTGGTTCGCAGAACACTGCTGATCTTTGTTTTTCCGGGTCTCTTGCGTTTTTCGCCTTAGACACGCTGCACTTTTCTATGGTTCTCTATGTATATTACTAGAAAATGTATTCGTTTTCCTTTTCTGGCGGGTTTCTGCCTTCCACATGTCCCGGTTTTCGCAGGTTTTTACTATACAAAAATATATGAACGAGAAATTGAGGCACTCTTTTTGATAATTCCGGCCAAAAATTCCTCCCAGCCATGATGCAGCCATGTATGTAATGCTGGACGCAGGTGGGGTGTTGACCAGGCTTAAATTGCTTAAAGCAAATAGGCTTGAACCCCGCTAATCCTGGGTTTTCTGCTGGATCTTCTTGCTCTAATAGATGCAAGTTCTCCTTAAACATAACCTCAGAGGTTCAAAATTCCCTTTCCCAAATCCAGTGGTAGGAATGGGAGGAGTTTCTCGCTCCTTCGTGAGCGACAATTTTCTAAATTATCCCCGACTGCCACAGCACCAGCCTCTCCGGGAGCCCATCTTAAACTAAACATCTGTGCATTCCCCCACTTGATCTCCTACGAAAGGAGGTTTCCTCTAGGGCCTAGCCTTAGGTAGACAGCTGGCGCGAACCCTGGACAAAACAAGTGCGGAGCATCTGAAACAGAAAATCCAATTAGGAGTGGGTCCGGGCCCGCCCCTTTCTTCTTGGGGCCTCAATTTCTTCCAGATTAGTTTCCTAATGGAAAATTCCTAAGAGGTGTGGTACATGGGGATGTACCCCACTGCCCAGGAGAGTCAAGAGTAGGAGCCTGGCGCAAGCAGTTAATGTGCCCCAGCTCCCAGGCTGGAAGTGACCGGCTCTTCTTCACACTTGTGCTCCTCCTGTTCCGCAGGTTCCTTCTGGTAATCTTCACTTCTGGGTGATGCCCTGTGCCCAGTAGAAGTCCGCGGCCGCTTCATCCATACCTCTACTCTGGGGCCTGAAAGCCTGGAGTTCTGGACAAGGCACTCAGGAATTGTTCCCAGTGCAGGAAGCCAGAGACTCGCAGCAGGTGTCCCCACCCGAGGTCTCCGCAAATACTCTTGATCAACCAGTTAGCAATTATTTGGTGCTTTTTCAAATTACAAAGATCTTTTACTAAGATAAGGGCCACGATTGTGGGTGTTCGTTCTAAAGGGCCCCAGACTTTCTCTAGGGTGGGAAGAGCACTGGGGTGGTTTTTACCAGAGGCACTCCTCTATGTGAATATCGCTTTCCTTCCCGCCCAGGAAACCTGAACGCGGGAGTACAAGTATTTTCGGTGCTTTGAGGGTTGCTGTGCGGGACCACAGGCCCCAAACAACGCGCGTGCGTGTGCGTGTATGTTGAGAGTATACAGAGCGTCTGTTGGGGAGGGCTCTGAGCCTGGACTCGCCACACAGCGCACATTTGATTTTCAAGAACTCCATTATGCTTTCGCTCCAAACTACGCGATTTAAACTTGTCTTATGGATGCGCAAAGAGCGGCTACCACTGCGAAGACCCAGCAACCAGATTTCAAGGGCGCTTTCCCGTAAAATTAAGGCAATTTAGTTTCAGGGGAGTTTCTGTTCTTGTTATTTGTCAGGTTTCTCCTACTTCCACTTAACCATGTTTCTGCGATCTGGATAATCCCTTTCAAGCCTGGGAGGAATTCTCCGGGGTCCATAATTGAGGGTCGGAAATCGTGGGAGTGAGAAAAGTATTCAATCCTGCTGAAACCCGGGAGGTGCCGAACGCGCTTTAGGGAAGCTGGTGGAAGCTGCAGAGGGACCTGGCCTGCGGTCCCTTCTCTCTTGAAGTCCCTTCTCCCAGAGGTCCCGAGTTGTGAACAATTGGTGCACTGCGGCGGGAAGCCGGCCCAGCGAGCCAGGGTTTGGCTCCACGTATTTGCGCCATTAACGCGCTGCCGGACCTTCGGCGCGTACTGAAGAAAACAGTAAAACGTGCCTAGATCCAAACTCCTAGGCAGGACTTCTTGGTACGCTTGGCATGCAGTGCACACGCCCGGAGGGCCACAGACCCCCGCAGCTCATTTCTGTGCACAAGTTCAGGGAGCCGAGCGAGAGGCTGAGGGGTTCAGCTGGGAGAGCGGCGTGGACCTGAGCCAAGCCCAAGTCTCTCCACACTGCACCGCCCCAAGACGAGCCTAAGCTGCCTTGAACGCCTTCGAACTTCCGACTTTCAGAGACCTCTGGAAATGGTCGGAAGTGCCTGCTACAGGCGCCCTGCACTAGGGTCTAGGGCTTGGCTCTCCTAGAGTGGGGGAAGGGACGCTGTAACCCGGCTGTTGTGTGGTGCGTGCGTGGGATCACGGGAAAGAGTGATGGTACCAAGAAACCAAGTCACCGCACCGGAATCTGCAACCTCGGTCCCCTCCGGGTGTTGACCTCCACGTCAGGGCCCCCAGACCTGGGCACACAACTGAGAGAAATCTCAGGACCCAGTTGCCCTAAGGAACTGCCTTCATACTCGCTGCGCCTACACTTCTGACCTGGCGCCCCAGGAAGCTAGCGTCCGCCGCGCAAACCATTCTGCACTTGGCTGGGTGATTCGGGTGCTTGCAGTGGTGGAAATTTGTGTAATCTCCGCCGTCCCCTTGGGCTGGTCCCAGACTAAGGTGGTACAGCTCCCAGTGCAGGCGCACAGGTGTCCAAGAGAACTCTAGTCCAGTGTGGTCCTGAGAGCCAGGACTCCCTGAGGTCCGGTCTCCAACCGCTCCTGTCTTCTCCACTGTCTTTTGCCCCCATTCACTTGGCCGCCAGTGGCTTTCGCTGAGCGACACTCTTCCTGAAACGCCCCGCCAGCAGTAATTCTCCGAAGTTCCGACTGAGCAAAGTAGGGCTATGCGGCCGCGCTCAACGGTCAGAGGGGGCGGGGGCTGCTGCGCCAGGTCCCCGTGGCCACCCTGAACGAGGCCTTTTTGCTGGTCCCCAACCCCTTTTTCCCCCAGGCTAGGCGAGCCGCGCGCGGCCTCTGGCCCCTCCGGGGAACGATCCAATCTCCTTTTGCCCTCACGTTTCGAGGCGACAAAGGACGAAAGGGTCACATCCTAGGTTATCTCGCCATTTTCCAGGGGGTAGAAAGATTGGGTGAGTTTCCTTTGGGACATCTCTCCTTTTGCTTTCCGACCAGAAAGCGGGAGAAGGTGAGAAGCGGGCCGTGCACAGGATCCGTGCAGCGCTCAAAGGACTAGGTCCTCAGGCCAGGGCACTCAGTCCGAGGGTCCCGCCGCCTCCATGCCACTGTGCCCGCTGAGACCCGCCCGGGAGCCACAGGGGCGCACTTGGCACCCCTCCTACCTCCCTTGCCCCTCCCTGCCGCTAGTCCCAGGGTCTAGGCTACGCGGTCGGCGGCCAGGAGAGGGTCCTCGCAGCTCTCCGCGTGCACTCACCGCGACTTTTCCGAGCCCGGGAGCGCGCTGATCTCTCCGGGGATAGTCCCTGGAGGCCGCACCACGGAGGCGCGCAAGTGACGCCCGGGTCGCTGCGGGGTCCCGAGCCGAGACTCGCTGCCGCCACCGCCTCCGCCCCCGCCGAGGTCCCTCCCCCTAACCCCTCACCACCACCTACCCCCCCGCCAAGGCCAAGCGGCGGAGGGCTCCGCCCGCCCACGGCTCCGCCATAAACAAACGCGGCCCGGACGCACGTGGACGGCGGAGCGGCTAAGCCTCGGGACGAATCCGGGCTCCCGCGCCGCTTCGCAGGCGCAGGGAGCGGCCAAGGAGGGCAGGAGAGCGCGCCTGGCCCGGCCTCGCGGCAGCTTCGACTCCCCAGCGCCCCTCCCGCTCCATGGCTCCGCGGCCGCCGCCGCCCTTGCCGCCCTCCGGCCGGGAGGGGCCTCGCGGCCGCGGGTACAAACACCCAGTGAAGGACTAAGCAATACCTCCGCTTCCTCGCCGGCCGGCCACCACCAGCCCCCGAAGAAAACTGAACGAAAAGGAGGGCGTGAGAGCGGCGCGAGCAAAAGGACAGGGCCAATCCCGAGAAGGCTGCGCTCAGGGCCGCGGTGTGGGCGCTCCTTGTTTGGCGAACGGCCTCCCAGCGCCCCTGGCCAGCCCAGCGCACCTGCCGGCGCCTGACACCGGACTCACCTGGCCCCGGAGGCCCCTAGCGGTCCCCGCCGTCCCCACCGCCACAGCCCGCGTGGGGCTCCGCGGGCCTCCAGCACGGCCGGGTCTAATATGCCCAGAGCCGAGGCGCGATGAAGGAGAAGTCCAAGAATGCGGCCAAGACCAGGAGGGAGAAGGAAAATGGCGAGTTTTACGAGCTGGCCAAACTGCTCCCGCTGCCATCGGCCATCACCTCGCAACTGGACAAGGCGTCCATCATACGGCTCACCACGAGCTACCTGAAGATGCGTGCTGTCTTCCCTGAAGGTGAGGCCGCTAGTGGGGCGGCCAGGAGCTTTGGGGGAGCTGGGCGGCCGCGGCCCAAGCGATAAGCCGGAGCCAGCCCAGCCCGGCCACCGCGGCCTCTTGGCAGAGGCATCGCGGGACGGTTCGGAGAAAAGAGTCAGGGCTGAGGCGCCCAGGTGACCAGACCATCTCCAGACCTAGGACTAAGTGGGGTGAACCAGAAGTTGTTCCAGTAACGCTCAATTCCCAAGCTAGCATGCTAGTCCATTCCAGTTTTATTTTCTTTACTTACCCTTTTCCTACCTTTCTTTCTTCCTTTTTTCTCCGTTTACCCTCCTCCATTTATTTTCTTTCTTCGTTGTTATTTTATTTCATCATTTTAACTCCCACGTTTATTTCCCCCTTGTTCTTTCCATGGAGGTGGAATGAGCACACCTTGGCCAGAGGTGACAGGCTCCATGCTGAAAGCATGGGGAGACTCAGGCCCTGAGACCCAGGCCATTGAAACAAACACTTGTAAGGCTCAGGATCTCAGACTTAGGCCTCCTCGTCTCTGCCCACCTCCCTTTGGACATGGACGAGAACAGGAGGAATCTAGTCACAGAGCCCACTTGGTAGGAGAGAAAGAGAAGCTGTTATGAAAGTGGTATGTGGGCCTGAGCTTGGTTGTTCTTTTAGGGTTGAAAGTAAGTAGCAGGAATAGGTGTCAAGGTGGATAAGGGTTGTTGAGACCCCGGAATTCAACAGACTCTCATGTCTGAGGGAATTGGTGGTGGGCTGATAGAGCACTCCACCTCCACCACCACCCACGCCTTCCAGGGGTGCCATAACGGTGGCCTTTTTAGCAAGTCTGGAAAGGCCTGATCGGTAGCATCTGATGCCTGGTGGTTCTGGGCCGACCGCCTTCCGGAGTCTCTGTCCCTTGTTCTTGGTCGCTGCGGCCTGGCCTGAGGAGCACGGGCGCTGGGAAGCACGCTTAGGAGCCTGATGGGCTCTCAAACAGGACATTTGGGCCCAGCAGGCTTGCGGCCTCTGGAGCCATGAAGCCGGGAGACAACTAAGGCTGCCCGGTACCTACAGACCTTGCAATGTTGGCGGCAGGTGTTCGTCTGCCGCAAGGCGCCGCCGTGAAAGGCCAGGCGCGCGACCCCAACGAAGTCTGTAAGCCGGTCCTTTCGGGTTCAGGTACCCTATCCTGTTATTTACGAAGTGTTTCTCAGGCTGGAGCTGCACTCCCGGGTGGCCCGGGGAGGATCTGCTTGTGAGGGCGGCTTCTCAGAGGAGCCGAGTACCCCGAGCCAAGGGGCCTGGAATTCCGGCCTGGCCTTGCTGGAGCTTCTCAGCCCGCCGCAAGGCCTCGGGGAGCTCTCCTCTCAGGCACAGGAGCCCGGGAGCTACTCAGTGGAGTAGGGCGCACGTTCCTACCGTGATGTGCCGAGATGCTCTCTGCCCCAGCCCCTTAACTCCATCGAACATTTCCCGAACGATCTCCTTCGTTCGCTGCGGCGGCCATCCGCTCCGCTCCGCCCTGGGAGCCGTAGGTCCCAGCGCCTGAAACCACTATTTTGTGCACCTCTCCGGCTGCAGTTTCCGTGAACGTTAAAATAGAATTGAGGTTTTTTAAGGACCGAAGCTCATTCCCACCCGGAAAGGAGGAATGGCAATGGGCATGTTACAAAGATTGTCTGGAACCTGTATAGGGTATTAGAGTTCTCTTCTCCTTCTGTCAAAGGAAATTTTTAAAGTTCGAAGGGACAATGAATGATAAGAATAAGTTCTTTGTTGCCGATGAATTCAGATAAGCCAGAAATTTGTTAGAGAGGCTTGCAGAAAGAAGGCTGATCATAAGCCATTCGTTATTTGAGGGTTTCCAGGACAACCTGCTGAAAATTGGGAAGTGTTATGTCCACGACATTTAAACTAGTTCGCGTGTGTGGTTTTCGTCTGGGAAGCTGAGTATCCCGGCATTTGGGTGCAGAATTGGTAGGTTTGGAGATGGTTGCAGGAGCATGTGGTAGGGGGTCAGGACCTAGGGGTGTTTGGGGCCATGCTGCTTGGCTTGGGTGCAGTGGGATGGAGAGGGCCACTGGGGCGCCATGCCAGGATGCCGGTTTGTGGTCTCCTAGGAGTGACCTTCAAGGTTGGCACTGGGGGGAGGAGGGATTGTTTGGCTCTTGTTAGGTGCCATGGCGTCGGTTCCAACTCATAGTGACTCTATACACAACAGAAGTAACACTGCCCAGTTGTGCGTTTAACACTACAGGTTTGGAAATGTCCCTGAACCTGTGACATCTCAAATGAGAAGATGGGGCAGGGGCCTAGTACCCCACTCTTCTGCAGCTGGACCAGAACACAGACTTCCAGGGGTGGGAGTGTTCAGAGGCCTGGGGTCTGCAGCTTTGGGCAGCAGCACCATTTATTTTAAGTTGGTCTAATGGCGCTGTGGGCTATTGCGCGCTAGACTGCAAAGTCAGTTTGAATTGCAAGGTTACTGGTACAAGCTCACCATTTGCTCCTTGGAAACCCTCTAGAGGGTCGCTATGGGTCAGAACCAACTCCACAGCATTAAAAAAAAAAAAATGGAGGGAAGGCTTGTGAAACAAGAGCCTGGGATGGAGAGGGAAGGTGTGTATGAGAAAGACTTCAATTTGTTCACCATTCCGGTAGCTGTGTAGGGCTGAGGCACAGAATCAGCTCTGTAGTTGATTTAACTTGTTCTCTGGAGAGTGAGGTCTGCCCTGGGGGATGTGGCTACTTGTCCAGGATGGGGTCTGAGCCCGTGTTAGAGAAGTTTTCCAACAAGGGTGGTTCTGGGCAGCAGCGGGAGCTCCCGGACCTTCTTAGACTTTCCACTGTGAATGGAGTCAGTGAGCCAAGTGGAGGTGCCAAGTTTGGTCTCAATCACGGTCGGCAGCCCCCAAACAAATGCACAAAGATGGACCTGGAAGCTATATTAGAACTTTTGAGAGTCAGAAAACAAAATAGCAGTCCAAAAGAACCACAGGAAACGCCAGAATAACCCTTCACATCAGAGGAAATTGAGGTCCAGAGGAAACGAAAATTGCCCAAGGTCTCCCAGCAAGGGCAAGGGCATAGCTTAGCTGAACTGCTATGATTCTTCTCCCGCTGCAAGAGCATAGGCCTTGAACCTCAGGCCTCAGTTCTTTTTATCCTGGACAGCAGAGGTTGGGAAGAGAGAGCTAGGAAGCTGCTCGGGACCAGGTCCTCTAGCCAGGGCAGGCAGAGGTGACTGGAGCCTAGGTGGACACTTGTTCAGAAGCACTTGCTATTTTTACAGTCTGATTCAGGATGCCCTTTCTGTTTCACTGCACCACTCACTGGACCACCTCAGGCTCCTCATCTGTAAAATGGAGCAGCTAGCAACTTTGTCACAGCACAAGGATTCTGGGGTCCATTATGAGGACTCATCATTGCAACTATTTAGTACATTTGGAAATCTAACATGGTCTTTCACCAGCAGTTCCTTTGAGCGCTCCAACACAGCTGAGTGGCAGGCAGGGAAAACTGTCACTCCGTGGTCCTGATGCCTCCATGTTCTCCCCCTTCAACATAAATTTAGGAAGGATAAGAAAGAGGAAGGTGGAGAGTAAGACTAGCTTTGAAAGGCGAATTTGAGATGAAAAACTCTGGTGGGTCTTAGCTGGTGTTTGGGAAGGCAGTATAGTCGCAGAATTCCCGGAAGTGCGGGGGAACTGTAATGTCTGTCTCCCATTCTCCCAGTCTTTGCCCCTCCGTGCAAAGAAGGGGCATTTTGGAAGCTGCAGAGGCAACACTGGTGAGCGAACTCAGAGTAATGGGAGCCCCTCAGCCCATCTCAAGGGTTAGGGCCTCCCCAGAAGCCTGGATTCTTGGGCCAGGTTGTGCCGCAGTGAGTGGCGTCCCTTCCGGTGTCTTGCACACTGACAGCTGACTGGAGTGACTGGTCTAAGATTCCAATTTAGGAATGGAATTGGAAACTGCAGTTGACTAGCTAGCGAAAGGGAGAGCAGAGCCTTTCCCCTTTCCCAGACCTGGAAGATCCAAGATTGCCTGGTGTGAAAGAGGAGGATATTTATCGTGGCAGTTTACTTAGAATAGAAAACTTCATTCACGCACTTCAAATAAGAAGCAGTGTTTGAAGGCCACAATTATTCCAGTGGCTGAAGTTTCCCTCTGGGTTTAGATTCAGCTGCAGGAGAATACCTTAACACCGTCAGTAAACATGTCAGTACTGGTAGGGGGAGGGGGGCTGGCTAAATCTAAACGCTTTGTTTAAAGGGTTTAGTGATGAAAAAAGGCACCTAAATCCACATGGGTCACAGACCCTAGGCCTTTCTCTACTGCAGCCGGAAGCAATGCAGATTTTTATTTTTATTTTTTAACTGACTTAATTTATATCAAGAATGTAGTTTTTGTTTTGTTTTACAACTCCATCCTTATTTCAGTTCTTTCTAGCTTGAAGACTGCTGGTCCATGCTCACTGCTCCTGGAGAAAAAGCCTATGTAGCTAGAACAGAAAGTTAAGGATGTGGTGAGGGGATGTGGCGAAGGGATGTGGTGAAGGGAACCTTTGGCGGTTCCAGTGGTGTGCTCAGTCGATTGAAACAACTCCACTGCACCCCACCCTCCCATGCCCAGCCAAAACCCAGGACTAGGCCCCAACCGTTCCTTGGGGTGGTAAGGAAGCCTCACTCTGCGGTGCATGCGGGGTTTTGCCAGGCGCTGCGCGCTCCTGGTCCACCTAGGCCCCGGCCATGACCACATCTCATTCCATCCTTCCAAGGTCTATGCATTTGGTTCTGGGAGGTGCCGGGCCCTCGGTTCGTTGTCTGAACGTGTACAATACAGGTTGGCCACCTGGCAGCCCCTGGTTCGAGCCTCCTCTATTCCCTTGCCCGTCGGGCCGTACCCACTTAGCATTTCCTTCTCGCCTCCTCTGGGAACCGCTGTGTGACTTTTGGTTTGGGGAAAAGGCACAAGAGGCGGGTTTCTCAAGGGCCACGGAGGGACTAGGAGGATTCTGGGGGAAAAGGTAGAGAAAAACTAAAGTGCGGCGCATGGGGGGTCTCAATGGCGGCGGCGACTATTAACTAGGATCCCAGGAGGAGGTTTATTAGAAACTAAACCTGGACTTTCCTCCAGCAGCAGGCAGGACCCCTGACTACCCCACCACACCCTCGAAAAGTTCATGACTGGCGAGGCCTCTGACCCGCTGCCCTGGCGGTTGCGTTCTGAATTCTAGATTTGTAAAAGCCTCCGGGGTGACGCGCCTTAGACGCTGACTGGGCGGCTGGCGCTGAAGTCCTAGCGAGGCCTCCGTACAGAAAGAAGGGGAGAACGGGGGCGGACGTGGATGTGGACGGAGCCACCATTCCTTTACTCTCCTCGCCCTTCCCCACACCCTTCTTGTCGTTTATGTGGTTTGAAATTAGTGCGACCTTGTGTCCTCAGATGGCTTTAGAACGCGCAAGAGAACTGCGTTCCCCAGAGACTGGCGAGGGTTGATTATTGGCGAAGGAGAGGTAAAGGAGGGCGCCTGAGGGTAGGGATGGGGCGGGGCAAGAAAAGAATTGGAGATGCTGGTGGCAGCAGCTGGACTCTGCTTGGCGACCACAAGAAGAGTTAATGCAAGTCATTACACACACACACAAAACAGTAGCCATCAGTCCTTTTGAAGTCATGGCAACCCCATGTGTGCAGAATAGAACTGTGCTCCATAGGAGTTTCAAGGCTGGAAACTAATCACCAGACAGACCTTGCTTCCAAACCCCTCTGGGTAGCTTCAGGGTGGCTTCTGTTTGTAGATCATCACTTCACCCTTTGGGTCACCCAGAGACTCAATGGAACTCCACAAGTCCATTTTAGAGGTGAGGACATAAAGTTTAAAGGTGGTTGCACTTGCTGAAAATCAGACTGACTTGGGCTGGTAGGAAGAGAAGAAGAAAAAGCCCCTGCAGGCTAAGTGGAGGTTTGGACCCTTCCTGGATTTTTCACAGTCCGGATTCAATTTTCCCATGAAGGAATGGCAGGGCCAAGTGCTTCCCTGTATTTAACCTCATTTAATTTTATCAAGGTCCCTGTGAGAGCTTTATGTCACTATTTTAAATACTCAGGTTGACCCTCCAAGCAGTGAGACTATCCTTCCACCCTCACTATTCTTGCTGAATTCCCCATCCTTTCTCTGGAGTGGACCACAGCAAGTCTCGCTCCTGGTTTCATAACAAGGAAAGGAGCTGTGGGCTGCCTCATTCCCAAACCTCAACTCACTTCAGCTGAGAGAGGCTCCAATCTCACAGTGAGAGAGACTCTCCCTCCATCATCTACCTTTTCTCCAAAACCATCTTATTTGTTTGATCCCAGGTTTATGGAGTCCTGTTCTGGAGTGCTGGTGTGGCTTGCTGTGGGTTGCAGTCAATTTGAATCGCAGGGTCAGCAAATCAAGCTGACCATCTGCAGACGCTCCATGCAGGGTCGGACCAACTCAATCTGTTCTGGAAGGAAAGGCCCAGTTGGGTACCACCAGAGCCTGGCTGAAGACCCTGGTGGTGGTGGTTATGTGCCTTGGAGTCAGTTCTAACTCATAGCGGCCTGTACATGGTTTCTGAGGCTGTAAATCTGTATGGGTGCAGAAAGCCTCATCTTTCTCCCGCAGAACAGCTGGAACAGCTGGTAGTTTCTAACTGCTGTCCTTGAAGCTAGCAGCCCGGGTTTGTAACTACTATGCTACCAGAGAGCCTTAGAATTAGTGATTACTCTAGAGCTGTTTGTTGACTGACTCGCTGAGCATCCAGTGAGGAGATAATAGTGTTTTGGATGTGGGCACCAGCTTCCATGGCAGGAAGCACTCCTCCTCTCCCAGGGGTTTAAGACAGACTTCAAGTGGAATGTGGGAACTTGATACAGGGAAGCAGAGGACATGGCTGACTGTCCAAAAATGGGGTGTGTGATCTGACCCTTTACCCACACTTTGGGTTCTTGACTTCCCTCTTCAATGTCTCTCCTCTACATGGCCCTCCTGAACTCCTAGGAGCTCAGGGTTTCGGGCTGGTCCTGTGTGGCTACAAGTAGGGCTCAGGAGACAACAACTGGGGCAGCCTTAGGACCCCCAGCTGCTCCCAGGATCTAGTGACATAGGCCACCAACAGCTAATCACCTAGGACCAGCTTAGTCCAGTTTTTTTACATCCACCCATCAATTTTCAACTCAAGCCCTTCTGTGACTCACAGATAAAAGGCTAGGGGGCCAATGCTTCACTTGTTCAGGGGTGTAAATCACTTTAAAGTCCCAAGACAATTTTTCCCCCCATTAGAAGCCTTGTCATATTTAGTCTCTACCTTCAGTCCCAAATTGATATTTATGGGCAGAGTGAAAAGGCTTCACAACTCCAGGGCATTTTAAAGGTAGAGCTGGCAGTGCTGTGGTCCCTGGTGAGGTGGGAAGAATGGAAGGTGGGGTATTTGGAGGAAAGACCCCTACCCCAGCATTGCCCCTGCCACCTCCCCATACACTTCCTGACAGATCCCAAAGGGTTTTGGGACCAATCTTCACAGACTAAGCTGAAGCTTCAGGAAAGCCTAGGGAAAAATTACATACAATGAATGATACATAAGAGAACAGGCTGTCTTGAAATATCTGAGTATTTTAATTATTAGGGAAATTTCCCTTTGTATCCAGTGTGCTTTTTATGTGAAGCCAGGATCTTCTACAAAGCGTCCCTTAAAGTCAACTGGGGAATCCAGTTTGGGGCTCACCACCAAGCACAGGGCTCTATAGGCTCTGGGTTCTGGGCTCCAGAGTCACTCAGACCAGACCGAGGACCCTGTGAATTACTGAGGCCCAGTAGCTGACCTGTTCACCTTTCACACAGAGCCAGGAGAGTGGCCTTGATTCGCAGGGCACCCCTCAAACCTAGGAAGGACCAAGGCAAGGTGCATTCCATTTTCAGAAATTCAACTCCTGGGTCCTTAACCAGTTTCTGTCTTCACTCAAACCCTAGGCAGATTCCAGAGGTTTTAAAAATCTTGTTTCTTTCCATCTCTGGTTCTATGAGGTAAAAACAGCCTCTGCCGACTGACTTGCCTGGGTGATCCAGAGCCATGTGCTAATGGCAGGCTGCCATGACCATGGTGGGGCACCTGAAGGAGGGTACTTTTTTCCTTGGTATTAAAGAGGTACTTTCACTCACATGGTGGAGGCTCCAGGGATCCACAATCATATTTATGTTGGGATCATATTTGGGGATGGGGATATTTAGAAATTAGCCACTTCCTGTTGGTTACCAGTTATGGAGAAAGTAAGCAAAACACCTAATGCCTGGAGCTAGAAGGACAAACTAAAGGATTACAGAGGAGACTCATTGTGCCTATACTGAGATTCTCTGGGGTCTCATTCACAACTTTACTCTAGCAGAGGCTTTGCCACCCGGAATGGTCCCTAGTAGTTTTGCCTTGGTTGAACTAGCCCCCCTCCGGGTTTGTAGTTTCTGTGGCCAATGGCCCCACAGCTTCTCGGCAGGGGTCTCAGCTGGGAATGGGCGCCAAGCGAGCAGACTGGGATCTTGAGGGCTCATTGTTCCGCAGGGAGCTGCGGGGACGCTGACCCGTAGGCGGAGATGAAGGCCACCAGTCTCACCACCTCTCGCGGATGCTGTGGTGATAAAAAAAAAAAAAAAAAAAAGGGTCTGTTGTTGAGAACACCAGCGTATGGACTGCGGGAAGCGCCGCTGCTTCACCTGATTTCCTGCTTCCTCGCGAGTGTGCAGAGAAAAACCTAGGGTCTCCCGGATCTTAGCAGCAGCTGCACCAAGGGAGCGGGAAGAGGGCGCAGGTGCTGAGCAGGATCGCCTTGCCCCTGGTGTACTTTCTGCAAGACTGGGTGGGAAAGGGCAGAAGGCCATGGGTGGGTCAGTTATGGAGCAGGGGCCCAATTAGGTGAGTAACACACCTCTGGTTACCGTCGAGTGACGCACGTGACTCCTGCTGGCCTGCGACCCATTCCCGCTGGCCAGCGCCTAGGCCTTGCCCGGGTGCACGCTGAGTTTGCCCTTAGTAAATTCCCAGGTAAACCCTTTCCAAAGGCGGGGATCTATGAGATTGGAGCCACCAGGTCCTGAGAAGGTTGGGATGTCTGAAGAAGTATGTAAAGATTATAGATTAGAAAGATAAATCGATGAGAGGGCTTCAAAACGTTCATAGAAAAATGGAATAGAAAGAATGGAATATTTGGAATATACACACAGGAAAAGCTGCCTCCTGTAGCTCTTAGCTTCCTGGGGCTTCTCTATCTTTGGGAAAATGCAGAGTTGCTGTTGACAGAGAAGGAAGGTGGACCCTTGGGGGAATATTTACGGGTCAAATCGATATCCCTGTATGGCTAAAGGATGGCCAATTTCAAGCAGATTAAATTACTTTGCAGCGTTCAAATAAACGGGCAATTTCAGAACCCTGAACACATGGGCAAGCCGCCTGCCTGACGGGCTTGGTGCGCATCTGGGCGCCTGGGCCGGAGACTTTCAAAACCAGTCTTTCTCTGGCCTTTTTCTTTTAATCGGGGTCACAAGGGCCCTGATGAGGACACAGCCGCAGAACCACGGGGCCAAGAAGGCGATGCAGGGAGACTCGAGCTCGGGGCCGGCCGGGGCTCAGGTTGCCGCAGTCCCCCGAGCCTGCCTGCGTACGGGTCTCTGGCTGAGCGCTGCCATTTACTGGTTTGCTTTATTCTTTCATCCAGGTTTAGGAGATGCGTGGGGACAGCCGAGCCGCGCCGGGCCCCTGGACAGCGTGGCCAAGGAGCTGGGATCGCATTTGCTGCAGGTAGAACTGAAGTGCTTGGGAAGCCGCGTCGCAGTCATTGCGCCTGGGCTGGGACTCCCTGAGAGGCGTCCTTACCCTAGATGCTCTGGGTCTATCTATCGCTAGGCCGCCCAGGAAGTGCGGGCAGCGGGCGGGAGGGGTTGTCAGCCCTGCGGCACTGCGGAGCGAGCGTGGTCAGTGCCTGAGAGACCAGGTTGTGGGCTTCGTGGGTGCTGCCTGAGGCCAGCTACTCCGCCCCTCAGCGCCCCAGGTCTTTCTAGCCTACCGGACAACGAGTCCAAACTGCGCCCCGGGGTATAGTAAGTTCTTCCCAGCTTTCCTTTCTTCCGCAAACATTTGCCGAGCGCTTCCTCTGTGCCAGACACTGTGCCAGGCTCTGGAGACACGGGAGAAGGAATGATCAGGACGCTCTGAGTTGTAGAGCGCAGCAACGCTCAAACTTTGTGTTTGAAGGGTGTACAATCAAGGCCAAATGGCAGCAATAATAGAATAGTAACAATTGGCATTTTCTGAACTTACTACGGACCAGTCTGTGTTCTAAACCTTACTGTATCATCTGCCTTCACCACCACCTGCAGTATGTTCTGTTTTTAACTCAACTTTTCAGATCCGAGAAATTGAGGTACAGAGAGGTCAAGCAACTTGCAGAAGTCACACAGCAAATACTGGAGTCTAAAAGGTCCAGTTCGAGGCCGGTACTACTTATAACTGCCTATTATACATGGTGTAGTCTCCAGGGTAATTGTGGCGCATAGGACCCTTGTTTGATTTGGGGTCAGCCGCTTAGCGCCCTCAGCGACAAGCCATTCAGTTGTCAATTGCGAAGCCACTCCTGACCTCAGATTTCGCGGGCGCCGGGGCCTTGCGGTATCCCGGACCCGGTATCCTTGCGCACGATCTGCCGCTTCCAGGGCGGCAGCTGGCGGCTAGGTGGGGACAGCACCGCCTCGCGTCTCAGAATCTTTCAAATGCTCTTTACAGAACCTCATCAACGACCCGATTCATTCCCCCCTCTCGTCATTTGTCTCTGCCATCGAAAAATGCCTTCCGAGAGCTATTTTGCATTTCTTCACTCTATTTAATGTTTTCTTTAAAAGAAGAAAAAAAAAGTTGGCTGTGCAATGTTGTGACTTGGGTCAGCGATCAGCCATCAGCTCCACATTTTGAAAAAGCAGATCTTTTAACAACTCTTCCCCCCACCCCCACTCCCAATGCCCTCCTGTGATTTATTTTAAGCATGCATTCACTAGGGAAGGGAAGATTCCAGGGAATATTTTACAACCTCAAGCCGGGCCGGGTAATGGCGCTCTTGGAGCGGGTCCCGCGTGCCCTCTCGCTGCCCCCTCGCTCACTGCCACATCCTGATCGAGCGCCGTATTTTGCGTATTTGATTCTCCTACATATTACAAGTGACACTAATATCAGGGACAACTAAGTGCCGGAGAACTCCAGTGGAAACCTGGCATGCAAAGTCAACACCCCGCCCTTCTCTAATGTACGTTTCTTTAATTAATTCCTGAGTGGTGGCCGGATGGGTTTCTCTGGGGTTATTACACATGTAAGCGAATTAGGTCATTTGAAGCTATGCAGGCATACCCCCAAATTTCCATTAAGAATATATCTTGTTAAGCTACTGCTAGCAACTTTTAGAATTCCGTTATAATACTTTTTTTCTCTTCTACTAGTTCTTGATAAGGCTGGTTGTCAGATGTTTTCATGAAATGTATCTCTGTATGCATGTATGCATGTATCATATCAATGTATCTTCAATGATTTGGGAATTAAGCAAGAATGTAAAATGTGTCAAAACTTTTATAACAAAATTTTTCTGTATATTTTATAGTTTTGAAATACCAAATGTTTGGTTGGTTTTTTTTTTTTTTTTTTTCCTTCGCTAAATTAGAAACCTGAAAGGAAGACTTCTTAATCAAGATTAAAATTTCAACCTTAGCGCAGGGGGATCGTAATAATAGTTTAGTTTTCAATAGAACGTCTCAAACTACTAAAATGTAAAGTTATCTTTCAAGTTTCACGTCTACTGCGTTCTTTTTTAGCCCCACCACCAAAGAGGGGGAGGTAGAAAAACCAAAAGTAATCTGGTTTCAATTACTTGCTGTAAAAATAGAATTTGTGGCCAGAAATTAATTTGGAATATTTTTTATGGAACAGCATTGAGAATTATACCAGTCTTTCCCCAACTTTATTACTTTTCTTTGGTTCTGGATCTAAAATATGAATGGGTAAATAAAATGCAGTTTTATTTTTCAAAAGTAATTTACTCTTTTTATCCTTGCCACATATAAATATAATAATTTCCTTTTTATTTGTCTTAATTACCTCTTATAATTTTATTTTTTTGAGGACTAGCCAACTAAGGCAAAATCAAAATACATTTGGGTAGTTGTATTTTTTCAGAAATTGAAACTTTTTATCCTTAAATTTTGTATATGTAGATTATTTGATTGCTTGTTAATACTAAATCATTCATTCTATAGACATAGTCTCCTAAAATAACTTGAGTATTTTGTTTTATTTTCTGGGGAGTGGTATTTCTTGGGAATGGAATTTATCTTTCAGAGAGTACTTAGGGATAACTAGAAAATTGTGGCAAATAAAGCATGTCCTAGTGGTATAAATGGCTGCCAATTATGACATAAAATGGTCTATATAGTGGTAGATTTTCCCCTAAGTACCATAGAACTCCGGATTTGTGCTAAGTGCTAAAATAACCCCAAACAATAAAGCTACTACATTTAAACTGAGCATAATCGGAATTCTCTAATGTTCTGCATGATTTGGGGACGGGGGTGTAGGTGTTGTGGATGTGAAATTGTTTTTTAACTGCTTTAAAAACATTTGAGAATTTGACCTGGAAACTAATCCTTGAGTGATATTACCTACAGTCCATCTTAAGATCCTGGGCTCTGTCTTTGCATTTAACAAATACGTGTTGTTAGTAATCATTTATACGTTCTTCCATCCCAGTGCAATACAAGAATTAACTTTTTAAAGGACAAGTATCATATCTTACCCTGAAACTTTCTCTCTTACAGACTTTGGATGGATTTGTTTTTGTGGTAGCATCTGATGGCAAAATCATGTATATATCAGAAACAGCTTCGGTACATTTAGGCTTGTCCCAGGTAGGTATTGTCTAATTTTTTATACAATCAAATTAAGTGTTAGTGGATCTTGACCACCTGACCCAACATGTAAATGCATCGGCTGCCAGAGACTGCTTTTGTGTATGAACATAATCCAGCATTGTAAAATCATCTTCTTAGGACATCCTGCAGGGCTTTTCTTCTCTGTGTTATGTTGTTTTATTTTCTTTTTCCTTTGAGGTTAATGACCAGTGTACCTTTGCAACAACCAGCTTTGGCTTCAGATTCTATCTGATATCCAGGATTTGCTGCTAATACAGGAGTGGTATACGCTGCTCAAAAGAGCTGCACAAAGGGAGTTTCAGTCCATACTTGCTGACCTAGACGTGGTATTGTGAGCTGGTATGAAAGCAAGAGGAAAGCTGATGTAGGGCATGGATTTCAATGTAGAGAATAGAAGGGGTAGAGAGTAGAAGGGTGGTGTGGGGAGGGGGTAAGATTTATGAGTGTTCACATGGAATTCAGGGTAATTTTTCCTGAGTTTTTCCAGCTCAGTGGTTGTTTCAGTAAAGCATTTTATATGCTTGTGATAGAAACTCATAAAACTCAGTTTACTACTGTTTTGCACAGCAAGGTCCTTGTTTCTTTAGAGCATTTAAGTATTACTGATTTTTCTGGAAGAGTAAAACAGTCTTTGGAAAAGGGGGTCATCCTTTAGAGAAAAGAGGTAGGCTCAGCTTTGTCTAACCCCATCATATGGAGTGTTTGGTGGGTGAGCTGGCTGATCTCTTGTTGTTGTTGTTATGTGCCGTGGAGTCGGTTCTGACTCATAGAGACCCTGTACAGGGTTTCCGAGGCTTTAAATCTTTACAGGAGCAGAAAGCCTCATCTTTCTCCCATGGAACAACTGGTAGTTTCGAACTGCTGACCTTGCGGTTCACAGCCCGATTCACTACACTGCTCTCTTAGGGGGTGTCTAACTAACTGATCATTCCCTTTTGTGTGTCTGATTTATGTCATGGTTCTAAAAGACACCTTTTTAAAAATATATACGTATAGGGACTGTTTCTTTAGATTGCAAACGAAATCAGAATGCCTTTTCTATCACAACCAAAGACAGGCTAGAATTAGTTGTAGATAAGGAGGGAATCCCAAGAGGTGCATGAGTAATCAGTATCTCTCTAATTTCCTAATGTGGTTAAGCCAAATAAAACATACCAGTAATATAGCTTGGATTTTCTCACTTGGAAAACAAAATCACCAAATTTGGAAACTTGTATTGGGTGTGTTCCTTTTTAAAAAAAAAATTTCCTACCAATACATTTTTAAATTTTGCTATTTATTTATAGACTTCTCTTCCAATGTATGTATAGTCTTACTATGTCCAAGTGGGGTCTTAGGCCTATGTGTTTCCTATACAAAGTCCTTTAACATAAACTGCATATCAAAATTGTCTAGGGCTTTCTTTCTCTTATTTTTTCCCTTCTTTTATAAAGCTAGGTCTCCCAAATAAAGTTTCCTTACTGCTTGGCTCTTACACCTATATGACTCATGAGCTCGTTGTGCTTGTAGAATGGGAAATGCTGTTGGGAATATGCAACTTACTATTTCTATACTTTTCAAGGTTGTTACAACCAATCAAAAATATTGCTTTATAAATTTCCACCTGGCTCTACTTAGAATTGTTTCATGCCCTGGTTGTACCAAGGAACCCTGGTGGCACAGTGGTTAATGCCTTGGCTGCTAGCCTAAAGGTTGGCTGTTTGAATCCACCAGATTCAATGGAGTGAGGCAGTCTCCTGGAAGTATCCTAATGATTACAGTTTTGGGAACCCTATTCTGCTCCATAGGGTCACTATGAGTTCACTCAGTGGCAGTGGGTTTGGTTTGGGGTTTTTATAGTTGTACTCAGTCTGATTTCTACTTTTGACTTGATCTGGGGCCCAGTGACTTTGATCAGTTATTTACCTTTTTCAATTGTAATTTATACAATGGTTAATCGTTTTGTAATAATAAATTACAAAGAAGACAAAACATTTTATATATTTTTAAATGTAACAAAAATGCTTTAAAGTAAGCAAAGTCATCATAATTGAATATTAACTTTAGATCTGAGCTTTCTAGTTGTTGTTGTTGTTGTTAAGTGCCCGATTCGATTCACTAAGTGCCGTCGAGTTGATTCCGACCCATAGCGACCCTGTATAATAGGGTTTCCGAGGAGCAGCTGGTGAGCTTGAACCACCGACGGTGCAGTTCAAGTGGCTTTGCAGTCTGGCACATTAACCCACAGCGCCACACCAGCCCTCTTGAGCTTTCTAGTAGTCAGGCAAAAAAGGAAAATCCATTCAGTTATATGATTTTTATTACACAAAAGGACAGGTATTTAACCTTCCTGAACTGTAACTTAAATGAGAAAAATAATGCCTGCTCAACCTATCTTTTAAGAATGTGGTTTAAAAAAAAAAAAAATTAAGGTATCCAGTTTGTGTGCTTTATAATCTATAAAGAACTATTCAGAAGTCAGGCATTGCTACTGTTTTATTTAGGACAAAGTTGTTTCAAATAGAGTTCTTTGTTGGGCAAACATTAGGGCTGCTTGGTCATTTTTGGAGTGTCCTAAGGAGTCCTGGTGTGGCACTATGGACTAATGCATCAGACTGCAAAGTCCTTTGAGCTGCAAAGTTGGTGGTTCAAGCTCACCAGCTGCTCCTTGGAAACCCTATACAGGGTCACTATAGGTTGGAATCAGCTCGATGGCACTTAACAACAGCAACAACTGATCATAAGTATTGGACTGCCAACCAAAGGCCGTTGGTTTAAACCCACCAGCTGCTTCTCGAAAACCTTATGCAGGGTTGCTGTGAGTTGGAACCAACTTGAGGGCACTTAACAACAATTGTATATCATAAAGCATTGTGCTCATTCCAACCCATCCAATCTGCTCAGCCAGTTGGCTGCTCACATCTTACATCTCTCTCTCAAAGATTTTCATTTTCTTATGTGCAAAATGGAGTCCTTGTGTGATACTGTAGGATAAGTATTTGACCACAAGGTTGGTTTGAACCGCAAGGGCAGTGGTCCAAACTCACCAGGCACTCCTCGGAAACCCTATACAGGGTTGCTATGAGTCAAAACTGATTTAATGGCACTTAAAGCCATTTGAACTGCAAAGTCGGCGGTTCAAGCTCACCAGCTACTCCTCAAAAACCCTATACAGGGTCGATATGGGTCGAAACCAACTTGACACGTCTTTACAACAACAGCATGTGCAAAATGGAGTCCTGGTGTGGTGCTGCAGGATAATGCACTGGACCAAAAGGTGAGTTTGAACCTCAAGGTTGGCTGTTCAAACTCACCAGCCACTCCTTGGAAACACTTTACAGTGTTGCTATGAGTCCAAATCCATTCAATGGCACTTAACAAAAACATGTGCAAAATATAATTGCTTGTCAATGAACAAAGTAATTAAGAATGACCAAAGTATAGAATAGGTTACAAATATTCCTTCTATTCGTGATTAGCTTCCCAGAAGGAGAGCTAGACAGAATCTCAATGAAATGTATTGTAATTCCTTTGATCAAAATGTAGGGAAAAAAATCGTGTCATAATTTCAAAGAAGTCTACACTACCGTTTTCCAACATAGTTGTAGAAAGAAGCTTTGTCCATATGTTGCTAGTAGAATTGTTTTTTCTTTTTAAGATAAATCAAACTGAGGGACTATGTAGTGTAACTGATTTTTCTTATTTCTTGGTGGAGCTGGCTTAGCCTCAGTTAGCAGCCACAGAAACACTAATGTAGACGCCAGCCTCTTGCTAGTATTTGGGGAGTGTTCCGTGGTGAACTGTTTAAATAATCAACAACAAACTTTTCCCTCAAATCTGTCTCCTGTTCATGATTAAGTCTACAGAAGGAAATCTAGCCAGAATCATAATGTGTATTTTTTCTGTCTTCTTGACTTAAATAGCAAAATGAAATATTGAATAGGTTGTCAAATACCCAACTTCCTTTTTTAAAATTCTTGCACCTTTTAGATTATTTTGATTGTTAGAAGAAAAAAAGTCAGGCAAATATTTCAAACAGGAATGCTTTATTCGAATAGGCTTAGAGATTTTTGTTTTTAGTAATCTCAAGAGATAAAAGTGTTAATAAATAAAAATTGACCCAGTAGTCAGAGGTCTTTAAACAGGTTTTCTGATAATAATGAATCTGTGTGGTGCTTTTCTGTGTTCTCAGAACTTTCACTTACCATCAATTAAGTACGAAAGCTTTCAAGTTAATTCAGGGTTAAACTCTGTTAGATGCTCTAGGGAGCATAAGCTTCTAGGTTTGCAGTAACTGTGGATAATTTACAACAAAGTGTTTATTTGCTCTGAACTATCCACATAGCTCTCTGAATTATGTATTTGAGGGTGTAAAAATGATTCCTTATGTCTTATAAGCTTACCTCAATGTAAAGCTTTTTATTAAACTTTTATTTTTATTATTATTATTATAATTGTTGGAATCAGCAATCTACTTTATCGGCAGTGTTTATTAGTTTGTTTTTGCTTTTAAATTAGTTAATAGCGATGCTTGCTGTCAAACTTGTATACAAAATATAAAAAAATGACAGGATCAGCAACAAAATGCCTGTCAATCCCTCAGTCAAAGTGTTGGACATAGAGTCAAGCCTCTGAGTTGAAAATTCGATTCTTGTATGCACACATAATATAGATATAGATAAATGAATCCCCTTTTGAATTGATAGAGTCGGGGAAAACATTCTTTATCCATTCAAGTTTAAAAAAAAAACTTATTTCCTTTCTATGCCTTTAGTTTTGGTTAATGTAATTAATGTACTTACATTTAAAGAAGAAGATTTAAAACCCTCTCTGCTGTGTATTTCCTCAAATATTCATAAATATCCGTACGGTTCACCTTTTCATAACAAAGTTGTATATATTATATAGCATCTAGGTAACTGATATACATTTATAAATAAATATAGATGTGTATTAAACAACTGTTTATGAGCTACATAAAGAAAAAAATCTATTATTTGATTTTGCTGCCGGATGCACAACCGTAAAATTAGTCACGGTGTTGCGTAGTTTGGAGGCATAAGACCTGATCGTTTCAGTGTTAAAATGAAGAGAAAGGGCAACATTTTATGTTTGTTGACATAACTTAAACCCTGAAACCCAAGCCATCTGATTTTTAAATGCTTAATTTACTGTATTCAACAAAACACCCAAACAAAGCAAAGTGATTTTAGAGTACCCAGTTTACTCCTCTCCGAAGCAGAATATCTCCTTTGAGTACTGTATTTATCATATGTAGTTTTCTTGGCAGGAAAAAAGTTATTCAGCAAAACATTAAAAAGCTCTTAGTAGAAAAGTAATTCATTTTTAGTTAGTAGAGTTTTGCAAATACTAACATATCACATCTAGGGTCTGTTTTAATAAGGTTGATGTATGAGGCCTGGAGAATTTTATAGCGACAGCCACATTTTTTCTTTCTTTCTTTCTCTCTTCCTTTCTTCATTTTTTTCAAAAGGTAGTCACATTTTTGTCAGCATGCAAAAAACCACAAGTAGATGTGTCGTAAATACAAGAAACATCATGTCAACCTTAGTTTTGAACCAAGGTCAGCACTGTTGTATTGTTCCAAAATTTGTTCTGTAAGATTTCCATTTTTTGAAGACTGTTTAAAACTTTCTATGTAGCCTTAGCATTTTCACATTGGTTTAATAATTGACTCATATATTTAGAAGACCAACTTTTTAATTAATGTGTCTTTACTCTTCTCACCCCCACCCCGAATGCTTAGGATGAGAATGACAACTGGAAAAACAAAGATGAAACTTCTTTGAGATTAGAACTCAATCTAATCCCTCTCACCACAGATGCAAGTCTTGTGGCAAATATGTAAAGACAGTTCCCTGGAAAGACACCAGCTTCCTTTGTTCCAACAAAGGATTTAAAGGGAACCAAAATTATCATTTGCCCCTAAAATGTGGGTAAAGATGAGGGTGTGTGACAGCCCAATGCACACACACTAATCATCTATTTTGTTACTTTTTCATTTTGAAAGTGAATGTTGAAATTGTGAATTGATTTAAAAAAAGAAATAGCCACATTATTTGTCATCTTTACTACTTCCCACCCGAACATAGCTCTACAGTGAACCCCTATACCAGCTCTCAGGAAAAAGGAGACTTTTATCATTTAAAATATATATATTTGTTTGTATTAGTTAAGCTTTTTAAAGACCAAGAGGACTGATTTAAAAGAAGGATGTTTTGTTTCTATTCCTTATATTTTTGTACAAAATTAAATCATATAATAATAGCTTTTTGGACATCTGCCAAGATCCGTTTTGGAGTCCTGGTGTGGCACTGTGGGTTAATGTGCTAGACTGCAAAGTCGGTTTGAACCGCAAGGCTGGAGGTTCAAGCTCACCAGCTGCTCTTTGGAAACTCTATACAGGGTCGCTGTGGGTTGGAACTGACTCAACGGCGCTTAACAACAACAAAGATCCATTTGGGTGTTTCCAAAGTGCCAGGTTTACGGAATGGTGTGAAGCGGGTAGGAGGAAGTATTCCTATAATCGAATTCTTGGTCTGCATAATATCAGAAAGAGATGTTTCATGGAAAATGCAGAAAATAAAACTGTGAATGCCATATTAGGGATGAGATTACCTAACGAGCCCCAGAACTTGATTTATTTGGAATAAAAAGGCAACTCATCTGCCTTAATAAATTGGAAGACCTGGCTCTGAGGAATGGATTCAATTACTTCACCTCTCCATGTTCTCTTGGTCCCAAGTAAGGAGTCAATGGCCTCAGGGGTCCCAGGAGAACTTCTCCCTGCTGTGTGAGGTGGCTGGGCAGGGAGGGTCCCTTACACATAATCCTAATGTCTCTTCACTGATTGAGGGCAGTGAGCCCTGGCTCATCCACTGAAGCATGCAATGAGATACACTTCAGATAACCAGGGTGGTTAGGGACAAAGAGCCCCACAAGTCTCCTTTGCTCTCTTAGGCTCCCCTCTCCCACGAGCATATTGTTGTTGTTAAGTACCCTCACATTGGTTCTAACTAATAGCGACCTTATATAGGTTTCTGAGCTTACCGCTGATCTAGTAGTTAATGTTGTTGTTGTTGTTATGTGCTGTGGAGTCGGTTCCGACTCATAGCGACCCTATACAGGGTTTCCAAGGCTGTAAATCTTTACGGGAGCAGAAAGCCTCATCTTTCTCCCGCGGAACAGCTGGTAGTTTCGAACTGCTGACCTTGCGGTTCGCAGCCCAATTCGTAACCACTACACTACCAGAGCTCCTTAATAGTCCAGTGCTTATCCTATAATGCCACACCGGGCCTCCCTCTTCCTCCCCCCACTGACCCATGAGCATGTTACTGTTGTTGTTCCCATCGTGGATCTGGGGAAAGTTCTTCAGACCAGCTCAAGGTTCTTTGACACCCAAACCAAACCCAAACACATTGCTGTAGGGTCAGTTCGACTCACAGCAATTTCCATGGTGTGAAAACCATGTTAAGTGCTGTTGGGTTGGTTCCAACCCATAGCGACCCTGTATAGAGTTTCCATGGAGCAGCTGGTGAGCTTCAACTGCCGGCCATGAGTTCAAACCAACTTTGCGGTCCAGTGCATTTAACCCACAGAGCCACACCATTACCAGCAACCTTTCAGATAGTAGCTCAGTGCTTAACCCTTTGCATACCCTTGGCCACCCAAGGACAGTTTTCAGGTAGTCTGAGTTTCTTTCCACCCTGGGCTTTCAGGTTCCAACTGGCTATGCTGGAAGCACTGCCATTGCCCCCCAGGCTCCCCACAGCAACACTGGGATGTACTGACTGACTGTCCTTGTCAGTCACCTCCACTATTTTGTGTGTCTAAAATTGGGCCACCCCTGAGGGTGGTAGTTTTACAATGTACCCGTTGTCCATCTTAATGAGTGAGGAGACCCAGGTCTTGGGAATCTGCATCACCCCCTCTCATGGCACTGAGAGTGATTTGTAGAATAATCCGCAAAGTTCTCAATGTTAGGACTTGGGCCACCAAGGACTTGGGTGTAAAAATCTTGACTTTGGTGTTTGTCTGACTGCACCCATTCCTTGGAGGCTGTGTCTGCCCTGAAATGGACATCCTCTGGGGTCCTATGTCTGAAGAGATTTGGCACATCTGGAAGTAGCGTCTGAATGTGGGGTTATCAGCCCCAGGAAATATCTGGACCCAAATCCCTTACATAGGTCATCCATGACCCAGCTGTACCATATGGGAGGAAACCATAAAATGAACAGTTGTCTTGGATTAGGAAGACCAGAGACACATTTCTGGCAATGGAAATGAGACCTGCAGTGTCTGAAGAACATGGGTCAGTGTCCAAGAAAAAGGACCTTTGTCAGAGTGGGGTCTTCCTCAAACAAGTACAGTTCCCATAACTCCCACCCACTCAGGTGGGCCGCGCTCTCCCAGGGGGCACAGTGTTTGGACGTGGTAGCTGGAGTTTTGGTGAGTGAGTCTCCACAGCTAGTGAGCATTGCTTAAAGCTCTTTTCCTTATGAAGAATATTACCCAGGTCACTAAGACTAACCACCTCTGAAGACATTTCTCTCATCCTTCACTTCCCAGTTCTTGCTGCTATTGTCACTCCGCTCAAACTTTAGCTCTCTAGCCTGCAAAGTGTGGGTGACAATCCAGAGTGTTGCTTGAGTGGAGACGATTGCCCTACATTTGATGACAGTGTCGTATTGTTGTTAGTTTCTATCAAGTCAACTTCAACTCATGGTGACCCCATGTGTGCAGAGTAAAACTGTTCCATAGACCTTTACAAAGCAGATCAGTGGGCCTGTCCTCTGAGGGACCTCTGGGTGGGTTTGAACTGCCAGCTTTTTGACTAGTAGTAGAGGAAAGCTTAACCATTGGGCCACCTTTGTGGGTTCTAAGTGGAAATCAAAGCTCTGTGCTTGGCGGGGTGTGTACCTGTGACACACCTTGCCCTGTCCCCCCATGACAGTCCTGGAGACAGGAGACCAGTGACGTTTCTGACTCTTGCCTCCTGCAACAGGTGGAGCTTACAGGCAACAGTATTTATGAGTACATCCATCCATCCGACCACGACGAGATGACAGCTGTCCTTGCAGCCCATCAGCCTCTTCACCATCACCTCCTCCAAGGTATTTGCTCCAGACACACACACAAAAAAACAGAATGAAAAACAGCAGGTGCTCTTAAATATGACTCTAGGGTTTTTCTGCCCATGCTTGCCAAGGTCACTTTGGGTGCCCAGCCAAGGCCTCTCCAGCAAATATCCTGGTGATTTTCTTTTATTTCTTTGTCCTCTGCACCAATATTTATTGAGCTTCAATTACATGCTGACTCTGTTAGGTGCTCAGCAGGATACAAAGGAAAGTGATCAAAAGCTTGGTCCCTCATGTCTCTTGGTTTAGAATTCAGGGGGAGCAGCATCATGAATCTGAACCTGGCCTTCTTAACCAAGGAACCCAAGGATAGAAATCAGGGGGGAAATGACATCTTTATTTTCTGTAGTTGAAATTCAGCATTTCCTGGGGTTATGATCACAGACAATAAACACTATTAGTATTACTGGTGTGTGTGGCTTTGCCAACCACAGAAATCACAGCTACTTTCATATGATAGTACATATCACATTACAGTTGTTGCAAATGTTTAAAAATACCACTACTTCAGAAGCTATGAGACCTTGTTATTTCATATGTTAATGAAGAAGCACATTTGTTATCAGATTACAACTTGCTTTAGTATTTTGATAACTTTTTGGCAAGTAGATAGTGTCTGAATGTTGGGGGTGATATGCCCAAGAAATAGTAGCTGGTGCCACACAGGTATCTGGGCCAAATATCTCCTGTAGGTCATTGAGTTTTTGTGCAATCTTATATGTTTTATTTTATGCATTCGAATACTGTATTCTGAGTGAAATTAGTTAGGAAGCCCTGGTCCATTCACAGACCCAGCTCAATCCCATCACAGTGTTCACTTCCTCCTTATTCTTCATTCCTTCTCATTCATTTAACACATACTGATTGAATTCCTGCTATGTAGTAAGCACCATATTAGGATGGCATGTGATTATTGTCCAGTAAAGAAGACACAGGACATATGATTATACAAATAACTCTTTAAATTAGGACTGTGATGAATGTTAGTATCATAGACAGAGCTTCATCCCTCTTGCAAGCCCATCAGGCCAACCAGTATGTTAATTGATGGGTTTCTTGTCTGCTTTGGACTATGGTATCCCAGCTTGGCCAAAACTACCCAGTGGGACAGAATGCAAAAGAAGGAACTTCAAGAAGTGATGAGCTAGTCACAGAAAAAAATGAGTTTCCTTCTTGTTACTTCCTTCTGGGAAAGGTTTGCTTAAAGCTAGGAGGACAGAATGAAGCATAGCACACTCATCTTTAAAAACCCTTTATAGATAGAGCTCTGAGACTCCCATGTTCTACCTGTGGTATGTTGGTTTCTAACATGAGATGAGTGGCTTAGTTGTAGCCGGGTCTAGACGCAGAGGAGTGGAGAATATTCTAGGAGTTGAATTACAGGCCGATGATCTCTGTAATTTAAAAGTCCATGAAAATAACATGGCTGAATAAATTACCATGAATAATGACTCTGAAGTTGTCAAAGACTTCATTTTGCTTGGATCCACAATCAGCACTCGTGGAAGCAGGGGCCAAGAAATCAAACGACATCTTGCATTATATCAATCTATTGCACAAGACCTCGTTAGAGTGTTCAAGAGCAAAGCTGTCAGTTTGAGGACTAATGTGCACCTGGCCAAAGTCATGATATTTTTAATTGCCCCATATGCATGTGAAAGTTAGGCAATGAATAAAGACGACCGTAGAAACATTGATGCATTTGTGTTGTGGTGTTGAAGAATATTGAAGGTACCACAGACTGCCAGGAGAATAAATAGATCTGTATTGGAAGAACACAGAAGGTGTTCTAAAAGCCAGGATGGTGAGACTTTGTCTCTCATACTTTGGACATGTTATCAGGAGGGACCAGTCCCTGAAGAAGGACATCATGCTTGATAAAGTGGAGGGTCAGGAAGAGAGAAGACCCCTAAGGAGATGGATTGACACAGTGGCTACAGAAATGGGCTCAAGAGCAACAGTTGTGAGGATGAGGTTCAAGCATAACAATTGTAGTCTGGAGCTGGACTGTGTAGTATTTCATTCTGTTGTATATAGAGTCATTCAACTCAAAGGCACCTCGAACCAACAACAGTGACTCTGAAGAAATAATTTCTAACAAAATGAGAGATAGGTTAGAACACTGTACCTGTATTTTATAGTTTGAACAAAGGTAGTAAGAGTCTTAGAGAATTCCTCAGAGCATAGTGGTATTATTGTTTTTAACATTACACAATCTGTTAGTTGCCTGGGCTCGGACTTCATCCCACCAGTCCTGGTCTCATCTTCCCATTCCTATGGCACAGCCTTGAAAAAACTGTTTACAAAATGGAAGCAAATAAATCTTGAGAATATCATCAGACCTTTCCATGCCCAGTTTCCATGGGCTACAAGTCTGAGATATAGCAGTAGTACAAGAGGGAAAACAACACTGACTGATTCAGCAGCCAACGGAGTGATGCAGGGTTTGAGGTTTACAAACTGTACTCCCAGAGTTGATTTTCTGTGTCTGACTCTCCTTGTTGTATATGAATTGTGTGAGAAATGAGCTCTTCCCTAAACTGGAAAATAATTACTAGATTATGTTTTTTAGACCCAAGCATCTATGCATCAGTGCTTATCTGTAAATACAGCTCAGACATGCAGCCACATTAAAGGGAAGCAGTATGCCCATAGATTCCAACCTGCTGCAGGAGGAATTGTGGGTAAAATATGGCAGCTTCTCCATCTGCAGGTTGGGAGACCCTGAGGTGATTCCCTTAATTCCCTCATAGGGCAAGCAGGAAGGCAGACCTGGCTTCCGTTCCTAGTGGTTACTTTAAAAATTATTTTATTGGCTTTTACGGTATTGATGTTTGTTTGCAGTAAGAGTGCAGGCAGCTCTATCTCTACCTCAGAGTGCTGGAGTCTCTCTAAAGCAGAGTGTAGTTCCTTATGGGGCTCATCTACAGTGTAACAGTGAGCTCAGAGGTTTGCAAGAAAGAAACTCTGGGCTTGGTCAGAAAAAGAGTGCGGAGTGAGAGAGTCCTGGAAAGGAAGGACTGATGGGCCTCCCAGGAGTATGAATAAGGACCAAAGCTTTGGCCTGAACAAGTGGGTCTGTTTGGATCTGGTCCCCCTTCCTCACTGTTGGGCAGTCTTGGAGACCATGGGAGGTGTGGTGTGATCGGCTCCGTCTGCCAGAGACAGGCTATGCATGGGACTTGTACTCAGCCTCTGCTCCCTTCAGGGAAGTCAGTTGCTTCTGGACCATTCCTGGCAGGTTCAGAGACCCATCCCAGGACTGACCAATATGGTTCTCTGGTACACCAAGCCACTCTGTGGCCATCAGGAGGGGACCACGGGCAAGTAGAACTATACTGAGACCTCTGCCATGTAGAGTCCTCACCTTGTCTCCAGCTGGTGTTTCCAAAGTTCTGTTCTTGTTCACTTGGATCACATGGAAGCTCCATTAGGGCTAGGGGTCTCAGCCCAAATCTTGGTCACAGGCGCTTTCTGGGTACAAGGCCTAGTCAGGTAAGAAGGAAGGCTCGGGCTGTTTGATGGTTTGGGGAATAATCAATTTGACTCAATCAATAAATTAATTAACTTTTCACATTAATTACCTTACCATATGCCTAATATAAACCCTTCTCAGACCATCGTGCATTAAATATGCAGTTATAGTTGCTGTTGAGTCAGGTCCAACTCACGATGACCCCGTTATGTGTCAGAGTAGAACTGCTCCATAGGGTTTTCATAGGGTGACCTTTTAGAAGCAGATCTTCCATCCTTTCTTCTGAGATGCCACTCTTGTTGTTGTGAAGTGCTGTCGAGTTGTTTCCAACCCATAGCGATCCTGTATAGGGTTTCCGAGGAGCAGCTGGTGAGCTTGAACTGCCGACCTTGCAGTTCAAACGGCTTTGCAGATGACACGTTAACCCACAGTGCCATACCAGAGATGCCACTAGGTAGGTTCAAATGGCCCACTTTTTGCCTAGTAGCCCAGCACTTGATTGTTTGTACCACTCAAGGATCCAGCATTGAAGATTGTTGTTATTAAGTACTGTAGAGTCAGTTACAACTCATAGCAACCCTATATAGGGTTTCCAAAGAGCGGCTGGTAGGTTTGAACTGCTGACTTTATGGTTAACAGTCTAGTGCTTATCCTACAGCACCACACAAGGACTTCTGCCTCAATAATGTGCTTAAGAATTAATCTGCTGATATATGACCAGAGAGTAATTTCAGATGGTGACAAAATGCCCAGAGACATATGTATAGACAAGTTCATGCGTGATAACCTATTGTAGTTGTTGGAATATGTTTCTGACTTGAGTGGCATCTGATTCTGAGGTTTGATTGTTAGGAAAGAGGGTGAAATTAAGCTGGGGGAGCATTGTGGGACAGGTTGCCAATCTAACCTCCCTCCTTCTTTCAGAGTATGAAATTGAGCGGTCCTTCTTTCTTCGAATGAAGTGTGTCTTGGCAAAAAGAAATGCAGGCTTGACATGCAGTGGATACAAGGTAAGAAGAGCAGCCTGGGAGTGGAGGAAGAGACGGTGGTGGCTGTGGGTCCCCCTATGTTTGATAGTTTACTTCACACTCAAGAACATACACAGAAAGGAAGGTACAGGAGCCAAAAGCTTTCACACCTTCTAATGTAGAACTCTCTAGTCATGCTCATAGCTGGTGATGAAATGAGTGTGAGAACTGATGTTTTAAAAGGAGAGTCCAGGCTGAGTGGATTTCAGTATACTTTTACACAAAAATAAACCTTTTTGCATAGAATAAAGTGGAAATGAATCAAAAAAGAAGTATTGGTTTAAATGATATCTTTTTTCTTTTAAGTTCTTTTACTGTGGTAAACATATCTACCAAATATTTGATATTTAAACTATCTTCACACATACAGTTCAGTGACATTAATTATATTCATCGTAATGTTTGGTGAGCACCCTTATCTATTCCCAGGGTTTCCCATCACCATTAGCAGAAGCTCAATGTCTCCTAAGCAGTAAGTTTCCCCTTCCACCTCCCTCCAGTCACCCCTGGTGACCACTGATAAACTTTGGTCTCCATACTTGCTCATTCTAGATATTTCATATAAATGGAGTCTACAGTAATTGGCCTTTTGGGACTGACTTATTTCACTCAACATAATGACTTAGGTAGAGTTTTGCCTTAAGCCCACTGCCATGTAGTTGGTTCCGATTCATAGTGACTCTATATAGGGTTTCCAAGGCTGTAATTCTTTACAGGAGCAGAAAGCTTCATCTTTCTCCTGTGGAGCAGTTGGTGGGCTTGCGCATCTGACCTTGTGGTTAGTAGTCTAGTGCTTATCCTACAGTACCACCAGAGCATCTTAGAGTTTCACCTTGGTGCCTACAAATTCTATTTTGCAAACAGATCAGTTCTACTGACACAATTGTTATTAGAGTTCATGGGACTACCCAGGGCAAGGTCCCGAGGCTGCCAGTGAGGGTTCAGAGCATAGAGGTGTTTCTCTTACTCTCGGAATGTCCAACTCAATCCAATAATAATGATGTTAATTCACATGATAGTAGTAGTAAGAGAGCCCATTCTGAGGTACAAAGTAGAGCTTTTATCTATAGCATCCCATTTAGTTAGTTTAATGAGTTGCCATACCAGTCCTTTTCAGGTAAAAAGGGTCTCATATATATATGAGACCAAGAACAATCACCTGAAATGTGTGTATATATATATATATATATCATATTTATGAGCTGAGAAGGGAAAAACGGTCAGCAGAACAACGTACCATGTTAAGTGGTATTGCTGGGACCTCTGAGCTCAACCCTCTCTCTATCTGGTTGCATTTCTCTGCCAGATGTTACAACTTGTCTCAGTTAACTCCAGAATCTAGTACAGCCCTTATAAGAGCCTGTTGGTGATATTGTACCTCAGCATTGCAGTGAGCCGCTCCCAGAGAGAAGAGGAGACTGGAGAAGTCTACACAAAGCACCCTACTAGCCAATCCAATCTCTTCTCTTTCTGGATCTCCTTGAGTTGCTACCTTTCCTGTCTCAGAGGAAAGAGGTCATAAACCCATTTCCGCTGGAATTGCAGATATTTCCCAAGAGTATTTACATTTTAGGAGAGGGAGATGCAGAGAGAGGGGGGACATTTTGTGCCTTTGTGCCTTTGTCCTCTCCCTGATTCTCCTTGCTGCAGAGACTTCCTTCTCTCAACTTTTCAGTTCTCTCCTCTGAGTGACACTTCAGGTTCTTCCCTCTTATCTTTACCTTGCTCTGGTGGCAGAGTTTGGAAATATTTTTTCTTCTTTGCTGTTCCAGACTCTAACTCCCTTTGGGCCAGGGGCCTGTCTGCATCCAGCAGAAATTCTTCAGAAGTCTTGGATTCTGAATTGTTTCTGTCACTTACTGTCTAATTTCTGTTTGCTTGTTTGTTTGTTAAAGTTTTTATTGTGAATTGAGTGATAGTTTACATGGGAGAACATCGGTTTTACACTCATCATTTCACTGTAATGATTACAATCCCTTCTGTGCATGATCATTCAACAGTATTTGCTTCTATTCCCTCTGTTTTTTTCCTTTTGGGGGGGGGTGTACACAAAAACGCTCAGGAATATATAATCATTTAAACAACCAAAGGGCACATTCTGCAAGCCTGCCTCCTGGTCGCCAGCACACAGCCTTTCTCTTTCCATGAGTCTAGGATCCTCAGCTGCTTTATCTCTCCATGTCATCATCTCTGCCTCCATCTCTGGTGTCGATGTTTCTCAGGGTAGGGTCCAACATTCGGCTCATGCTCGAGTTCTCCCTTAATGGCCCTAGGGTCCTCTGTTCCTGGACTGTAAGATTAACTACTCCCCCCTTTTTGTTACAAAACTTCTACCTTTACAGTTGTGACAGTTGCAATTAGTCATGATAACAGTTACTCACTATTTAATCATAAGAATCGTATCTCCATCTTCTTTCACCAGTAACTGTCTAATTTTAAGCAAAACATATCACCTCTAGTCCTTCATTTCCATATCAGCAAAAGCAGAGAACTGACTATAAGAATTTTAAGATTTCTTTCAATGCTAAAGACTGTGAATGCATTCAGGAATCCTAGAGGAAGGCTTTAACAAGAGAATTTCAGGCTGAAATTTTAGTTTTTCACCACCACTGTTAGGATAATGACCCTGTGAAGATTTCTCTGACTAACTTGTATAAATGCTTTCTGCATTGAGGCTTAAGTCTGTACAGATGTTTCTGTTTGACATTTGCAACATGGTACACTCTCTGCTGACTGGTTTTGACAATGATAACTGTAAGAGTCTCTATACTACTACTCTGGCTTATTACTTATTAGGAGAGGGTTGCTGTTGTTGTTGTGTGCTGTCGAGTTGCTTCCTACACATAGATACCCTGTACAGGATTTTCAAAAGTGGCTGGTGTGTTTGAACAGCCAACCTTGTGGTTATCACTCTAGCGTTTATCCTACAGCAACATGCCAGGGCTTATTACAAGAGAGTAAAACTTAGTGATATAAAAAAAAGTAAATAAATAAAAATTCATTAAAAAGTAGATGTTATTTCATTTACTTGAAGAATTCATCATATGGTAGTGTATTATAGTATGTTAAGGTATATAAATGTCCACATATATAGACTTCAATCCAATTGGAAGATGATATAGTATTGCAGTTACTAAAGTGAGCATTATAGAACAAATGGTTAACTACCAAAATTGCCTTTGTTGTGCCATCAAATCACAACTTGGATATGGCTTAATTATGTATAAATCTATTATATATTGCTGTTGTTGTTAGGTGCCATAGAGTCAGTTCTGATCCACAGAGCCCCATGCACAGTAGAATGGAACCCTGCCCAGTCCGGCCTCATACTCACAATTGTTGTTACATTTGAGCCCATTGCTGCTGCAACTGTGTCTGTCCATCTCCTTATAGGTCTTCCTCTTTTATCCTCACCCTCCACTTTACTAAGCATAATGTCTTTCTGCAGAGACTGGTCCCTCCTGAAAACATGTCCAAAACATGAGAGACAAAATCTCACCATCCTGGCTTTTAAGGAGCATTCTGGCTGTACTTCTTCTTACACAGATTTGTTTGTTCTTCTGGCAGTCCATGGTACTTTTAATATTTTTCTCCAACGCCATAATTCAGATACATCAGTTCTTCTCCAGTGTTCTTTATTCATTGTCCAACTTTCACATATGTATGAGGTGAATGAAAATATCATGGTTTGGGTCAGGGTACACCTTTATGCTCAAACTGACATCTTTGCTCTTGAACATGTTAAAGAGGTCTTGTTCACCTGATTTACCTAATGCAACACATCATTTGATTTCTTGACTGCTGTTCCCATGAGTGTTGATTGTAGATCCAAGCAAAATGAAGTCTTTGACAGCTTCCATCTTTTCTCCATTTATCATGATTTTGTTTACTGGTAAATATTTTACATCCTCTTGGCTGTCAGCAATCAAGGTTGTATCATCTGCATATTGCAGGTTGTTTATGGGTCTTCCTCCAATCCTGATATCATATTGTTCCTTTAACCCGGTTTCTCAGATAATTTGCTCGGCATACAGATTAAATAAATATGGTAAAAGAATACAACCCTGGCATACACCTTTCCTGATTTAAAACCATTCAGTATCACCTTATTCTGTTCTAACAACTGCTTCTTGATCTAAGTAAATGTTCCTCATAAACACAGTGAAGTGTTCTGGAATCCCCATTCTTTGCAATGTGATCCATAGCTTGTCATGATTAGCGTCATCATGGTCAACTCTAACTCTGAGGAGGCAGTTCTTACCTCAGTCATCATTTGAGCACCTTCCAATTTAGGGCCTTATCTTTTGTCTCTATAACTGATGATAATGTTCCACTGCTATTCATAAGATTTTCAGTGGCTAAATATTCAGAAGTAGTCAACTTCTCCTTTCTAGTTTGTCTTAGTCTGGAAGCTCTGTAGAAACCTAACCCTGCTGGCATTTAAAGTACTGGTGGCATAGCTTCCAGTATCTCAGCAACCAACACGCAAACCACCACAGAATGACAAACTAACAGACAAGTGGATTATATATTGTTGGTATTTAGTGGTGTCAAGTCGGTACAAGGTTTCCAAGGAGCGGCTAGTGAGTTTGAACCACCAACTTTATAGTTAGCAGTCCAGTGCTTATCCTACAGCGCCATATCAGGACTGCAGATTATATACTATAGAACCTTGATTGTTAGTCTATTGTTAGTGTAGAGGAATACAGCAGATTTTGTGTGTTTATCTTGTACCCTGACACTTTGCTGAATCCCTTCTTTTGTTCCACTAGCTATAGGATAACACTGGACTGCAAGGTTGGTTTGAACCACAAGGTTGGTGGTTCAGCTCACCAGGTTCAACGCTACAGTGTGGCTATGAGTTGGAACTGACTTGACAGCGCTTAACAAACTTTCTTGTAAAATCTTTGGAATTTTCTATGTATAAGATCATATCATCTGTAAATAGGGATAGTTTTACTTCTTCCTTATCAATTTGTTGT